ATAATTCTATTTTACCACTTTGACGGTGTGATTGATATACGTACGCGTACCTCCATAAAATTAAAGCTCTCTAGTGCTAACAGTCTGCAAGCAAAAGCTCGGACGGATAGACGGACATGACGAAACTATCAGTGTTCCTTGTCTGGATTGCGGAACCCTATAAAAGGCCTCATTTTCAACATTGTAAGAGGACAGCAGCCTTTTCTGCTCGAATTTAAGATTAATGTAGTGTTTAGCGGATTTCCCTTTTGTGTTGGATTTGGAGCGCCCGTCTAGGATAGTTAAAGTCTCAGATTACAGAACAAAAGGCAGATGGAACGCACGGAACACACAAGTGCGGCCACTAAAGTAAATACAAAGCCAAAAGTAGACTTTTTTGTTTTTGTAAACAGTTTTTACAATGTTTGAACAAGGCAGCACAGTTTTGATAAAAACTTAGTAGCGTACTGACGCGAATTTGTGTTCGCTTTTGACTTCGTATTTTCTTTGATAGCCGCACTTGCGTGTTCCGTGCGTTCCATCTTTTTCCTTTTGTTCTGTAATCTGAGATTAAAGTGAATTACCGAAAGTCATAGTAACTTTAGGTGGTATGTTTCTGTCAATGAGTATAAGGTTCCAGAGCTCAACCGGATGGGTGCTATCGATTGCAGGGCCAGCCGGAGCCAACTGGTTAACGGGCTTCTCGAAGCACAGAGAAGCTCCAGGTAAAAAAAATGGTCGCCCATCCTGTGACTGGCCACTGCAAAAGTTGCAGACCGATCGTGCTTATCACTGCGCCATCGAGATCGTCCCCTCTGCACTAATGGCCGTCAAATGATGCATAGGCATATGCATGAGTAATGCAATGCTTGCATAACCGTGCTGCAAGTAGTGATGGGATCTATAAATGAATGATGATATCGGTAAAAAAATTGTGCTTTAACAAAATATGATACGAATCTACGTGTTCTGTTCAGCACACTAAGAGCACCAATAGGCATTGCGCATTATTAAAGGACCGATAAATGAGACAATACTTATGCCTAAAAAAGTATTATTCCATCTGCTACAAAAACCAAAGCCAAACTTTTTATATATCAATTCCGATTCATTTAATGAAATTTATTTAAATTAAATTTAAAATTTGAATAAAGTCTCAGGCCCCAAACTACTCAACTTTTAGGGGTTCCGTATGGGAAAAACGGAACCCTTATAGGATCACTTTGTTGCCCGTCCGTACGTCTATCAAGACCGTTTTTCTCAGGAACGCGTGGATGTATCAAACTGAAATTCATATCTAATACTCATGTATACTGTCCCTTGGGGTTGTGAAAAAATCAGATTTCTTAGCCAAAGCAATCAAAAAATACAGCGTTTATGCTGCAAATTTCCGCAAATTTTCGAAACTCTCAACGGGAATCAAAACCTAAAATAGTTCCCGTGAATTTAGAATCTTCAAATTTGGTACGAAGTAACGTCTTATAGTACAGATAAAGGAAAAATTGCGAAAACCGTATATTTTTAGTTTCATCGTATATTTTTTTTTAATAATTATTAAAATATACCTACCTACAGGTTTGTACGGAACCCTCGGTGCGCGAGTCCGACTCGCACTTTGCCGATTATTTTACTTTAGTGTTCAGATTTAGAATTTTACTGAAGTACTTTTTTAGATAGAATAATATTGTCTGGTTTTCCAAGTCCAGTCCCATGATCGTTAATTACTAATATAATCATTAGAAATTGTTTTATCGACTTCGAAAAATTAAACTAACATCCTTAGCAGTCCGTATGCAAAATTCCCAGTAGAGCTGTTCGGTACCATCCCTCACGTATCTAAAGGTAATGAGGCTGAGGTTGATAATTATAATGCCTCAAGATACGCCATATATTCTGTAGGTAAATTTTCAAAAAACTTAGTTTTTGATAATTTTTTTCATTCGTTTCATGATGACTATATAATCATCGTATTTTTATTTTAAGAATAATTTTAATTTCACTCAGACTTTATTTTTAAACAAAGTTGTAGTTCAATGGAGAGAAATATTCCATTTATTTAATGATATATTTTGCTTGACTGCGCATTTAGATAATTCATTAAAAGCTTTCGATTGTTACAAAAGTAAATTATTAAGAAGTCTAGTAACAACTGCGTCTTTATTTATTTTCGACATGATTTCACATTATGTGATCACGATATGTAAGTATTCCCGAAACATTTTTTCTGCAATAGGTATAACGCAATTTGAGTCGTTTTAATCGACCAGGATTTTTACCTCCCCTTTGTAATTCAAGCTCCAGTGACGTCACATTACTACCCCAAACAGGACATTCGGTGGTTAACCAACCGAATGTTTTAAACGAACAAAATATTGTGGCATGGAAATGCAATTTGTAAATGCAATTTGGTTTGTGCACAAATATCGAATTCGATTTACTCGTTCTTTTAATGAACACCACAGGTTTTGATACTTCGATATTTATAACGACATCAATCGTGAAATACGTAATAATACAATAATCGATTATTTTCTCGTAGATTTGTAACGTATTCGACTACTACTTTGAGTTGGTTGTTACAATTATTTCTGAGTTACTCGTGAACACAGTGCGCCCGCCACAATCTTAAGCGAATGCTAATTTTATTATTACCTTTAAATTAACTTATTGCTAAGCTTGTTGATTCCGTACAATAAATCAATGTTTGATATAACGAAAAGTAATTTTATTGTTTAAAGCTTCTTCTTAAGTATAAATTGGTGTGAGTGTTAGTTTGAATATGAAGATAGTTATTTGGATAACATCCCTGATTTGTCCCAATTTTGTCGACTAACTAAAATGACTTCTTTTACGATCAATACAATATTATTAATTATATTGATGTCTATTTAACGGTATTATGCTGTCGCATCCTTAATGGTTGTTAAAAGATCTTATCTCTGCCGCATTTTCATTGGATCTTAACTACTAATGCGCTATTTTAACTAAGCTAATAAACTGCTGATGACGATATACCGTCATTGCAGAGCGAAAAGTCACCAACTAGGTCAAAACGTGTTTTAGTTAGGAAGGTTTTGAAAAATGTAAAAGTCTTAAAAAACAAAAAAAAATCGTAACTTTTCTTCGATGTAAGATGATTATAGTTTAACGGTTTCATAACTTAGAAAATTGATAAGCGCTTGGGTAACAGTATTACTTATAATGAACTACTGAAAAAATTCAAAAACACACACTTAGTTATTTTTTACCCTCAAAAGCAGTACCAACAGAGTAAGCGATGGTACACAAAATATAAATTACCATGTTACGTTATCTAAGAAAAAGCAAAAACGAAAGCGATGATTTTTATGGTACATCGGTTATCGAATTTTAAGAGTACAACTTTAAAGTATGTAATTTTTTTGCTTCCATTTCAACAATATATAACATTATTACAGTCAATTAATATATTTACGGGTGCATTAAACTTTGCAACAAAATTCATATGGTAGTATTTCCTCTTATAAAGAGTTACCGTTCAACTACAAGTTTTAACGACAACCACATCCTTCCTGTATTTGTGGCGATTATGTTGCTCTTGCTCAAAGTGCTTTTGGCTTCGGAAACAGATGTCAAAAGAAACCTTATAAAAGAAGTTTCAAAAGAGCGCGTTTACACAACAACATAAAAGTTTTCAAACTCTTTTCATTAATTTCCATGAATACGTCTAAAAAGTATGTACCTAGTTCCAAAGTTAAAATTATCCGGTGAAGAAATACAGAAAAAAGGACTAGGCTGTTTCAAAGAAATGGGTACTTTGTTGTACGTTTAAGATTTGTGTAAAAAAATACTTACACCTGCACACTTTTCTACCCTTATCCATCCTTCACGGATGTGCTCCACTTAGCCCGGATATTCCCATGCACTGGTATTTGCGATGCATCATTATAAGAAAAAAAATGATTTTTTTGTAGCTTGCAATTAGGTATCTGTATTATTTTGGTTTATCAAACTACTAGTACTTACTTTTAACATTTGAGAGGTTTATGTGGGTGCCTGCTTTACTTTTTAATGAAGTAACAAGTGTATTTTATTATTAAATAACTTTTATTTTAGTACACGTTCGTGATATATGTGGTATTAGAAAAAAAGCTAAGCTTTAATGTTATTAAAATCACACTGTCCATTGTCTATTGTGTGTTAAACATACGGCCTTGTTATTAGTTTCTGCCTTTCAAGCTTCATAATTGTAGAATCCTAGAATTAGATTTTTTATTTCAAGTATCATGGTGACGTTGATTTCACTAAGTGCTATTGTGTCGATGGATATTGAGATTTTCTTCAATTGATCAAGTTTCTTAAAGTGATACAATGGAAAATTGTACTAGAAACGCTAAACTTTTTGTCGTCTTCTCCGGCTACATTCACCTGTCTTCGTTGCTTCTGTATTCGAAGGTAAATAAAACTGCTTGTCTTTATCGAACACGTTGAAGACGGATGACAAAGAAAGAGACAAGACTTCTCAACCGTCATTGCCGTCGGTAAAACCATGTGGCACGCGCGGCTCCATTCGGTTTTCGAACGTAAGCCGGTACAGACGCCGCTGCGTCGATGCAATTTTCGAACACTCGTGTTCGATCGTAATTCGACTAATCTTTCGAAGTTCCCTCAGTGAACTTTCAGTTTATGTTCTCGACGTGTCTTTGAAGTGGTTGACTGTGTTACACTGTGACGACGAAAATTGTGATCACATCGAGTTTTCAGACAAAACTTTTATGCGCCGGTGACGAATTCGTGAATAAACAAGTACGAAAGAAATGTGACCCACATCCTGGGCGCGAAACTCTTAAGTGAAAGTTTAAACAGTGTTTTTCTGAAGAAGCCACGCTCGGGCATTTGCTGTTCACTCCGGTAGAAAATAATTGAAAAACTTCCGGACGCTTATGGGAAAGAACGCATCTGGTTGACCCGAAAAACTGTGATAGAAATAAACGATTCGGAAGATTTATTTCGCCTTTGATGTAGAATGATTAATCACGCTCATGCGGGGTTGCTCCTCGACCGTTGAGGTGATCGCTGTTCAGGGACTTTTTTCTGGCTTTATGAGGGAGCGAAGGTCTTTACCGATAAGTAGCGAAGTGGCGCTGAAGAACGACAAGGATGGAACTGGGAAATTGGTGGTGAACTCCGTCTTATGTGGTGTGGTGGATGAGCTGTCAAGTGGAAGGACAGGGCGACGCGGGTCGTGGGTCAGGCACGCAGTCATGGGGGTCCTCCGATGGAAGGATTTGACAGGCGTCAGGACAAGCACGCCTCCTGATCAGAAAGAGGTGAGTAACCCAAAATATTAAAGAAATTAAAGAAGGTTTTTATTCATCAAGTTTTTATTTTTTCGGATAGCTTTAAGTACTTTTTCTTTTAATCGTACTTTTATCCTTTTGTATACTGGACATTAACTAAGTTAATTATTGTTGATACTCAGTATAATCTTAAAAAATGCAGACGGTGCAATATTGTCTTTTAAATGTGTTTTAAATAAATTTTCAAAAGAAACAATTTCATTTAACTAGGTTATTCTTTGCTTTTATTTGCAAAATAATCCTACTAAAAAGATAAATATTTACAATTTTTTCAAGTGTGCACATTAGTATCAGAAAACATGATACCAACATGAAATCTAGTGTTAACAATCTACCTACTCATCGAGGAAATCAAATTATTACGTCATGACATGAGAAACGTAGATATGATAAAATACGTGACTCATTGGACGGTGATCTTTATATTCTTATTTACTACGATTTTCCCTTGTTTTTACATTAGATCACCAAATCTTAGTTGTCCCTTATTAGTCTTATAAGTAAATTTTACGATGAATAAATAAAGAAATAAATCATATTTCTTTTATTTAGATAATATTTGCTTTTATTTCCTCATCAACGCGTTTCACTCGTGTTATTTCAAGTAAAAATGTAACAAAAACTAACATCATTATTCATAATGATCTCCATCTCTACAAATAAATTAATGTAAGGAGCCGTAATCAAGATTAACAAAGAATATTAAAATGTTAATGTCCTAGACTAGATGATTGATATTATCAAAACTTGCTCAAGCGTCAACATACATGATGACTTAGATGTGATTAGTGGTGGTTGTATGACTATCATTCAGAATTAACATGGTCTTTGGATTTTATTGCAGGACCAAATAAAATGTTTCTAAACAAAATATACTGTACTAAGAAGTATGAAAGCAGAAAATTGGCCTTTCGTTCCGACGCCGACGGCGCTATGTTAGTGCATAAAAAAGTTATAAATTTTCTATAAAACAATACCCTTATCGGAAGCAAAATTGCGAAGAAGGCGTGTTTGTTTTATGGTCTAGATGATTATACGGCTTTTTCAAAAGCCGATTTTCTAATGGGTAACAAAAATACTGCTAACATCTTTTAATAGTCTGCAGTCCTGGTTGCATCTGCAGTCATTAGTGCTTAACTATCTGCGTGGTGAATTATTGTACGTTTTTCTGATTTATTTGCTGTACAGAGAAGAACTAGCATTAGATACTTTAATAGGATTATAATGATGATGATGACGAGTACTTAAAAAAAGTACCTCGACCACAGAGGAGGAACGAAAAATGTCTGATGATTTAATACCTAAGCTAGAAAATACACGTACTGTTTGCTGTTATGTAAAACAATTTTGTAACAGTTTGCTTCTAACTGTTGGCAGAAGCCAATGTTCAGTAGGAGGAATCCATGTTAATATTTGTTTACATACAAAAGTAGCTTCGGCAGCGTCTATCGATTATGTATACTCTCATATGAGTAAGGAATTAGGCTTGGAAATGAAGTTGAATTCGCTATCTGTGAATAAGTTACGTACCTGAAAATTATTTTTTTATTTAAAGGCAGTTTATAAGTATATGAAGCCACTAGGTAGATATACTATTTGATGTTGACAATTACTTTATTACCTAGCAATAAGAACTGTATTTGTAATGCGAGTGATTTCCAATTTTCATGGCCTTAACTGCACTTGAGAACTGTATTGTTTCCATAATTATTATTATACGACAAATATGTCGTTTCGTTTTTGTTTTGTGAATGCTGATTATGCTGATACAAGTATGAAATTTAGCAACAGTATCTTCTTTTGTGCCTTATTAGCCCTCTCATTGTATAACTACGTTGTCTGTCATGAAAATGTAACTACTTACATTATATTATTATTACGACTTGAATTGTTTTTACCAACCAGCGATGTTTTAAAATTTGTTTTCTTTTTATTTAATATTGTCAAGAACACCAAATTCAAATTCCCTTTTTATTAGTAAAAAGTTGGAAAAAGTCATTTATAGATCCAATATATCAAATTCTAGGCATCAACCTGACGTTGGCTGAACTTTTTCAATCTTCTAATGGCTTGATGGTTACTTTGTTGCCGGAGTATAAGATATGCATTTCTAATGTTATACGTATGCGTGCGCAATATCACAATTATAGAAAGTTGTGTAACTGAACTTATCAGTTCTATATATTAACGCTGCCATATCAGATGTCATTATTGATTTATAAAGCTTTGTTTTAAAACAGAGTTCATCGTCAGCATCAGTGATTCACAGATTATGTAAAAGAAGATATGAGTAATAGTGAAATCCGTGAGACGGACTATTGTGTTTAAAAGTGCCACAGGTGTAGTATGCCACTTTGCCAAATCACATGTGGCTTGTGTTTCTGTGACTATTCGACTGTTTTGATAACTAATAACGTATGGACGCAGGTAGGAAATTAATGTGGAAACATGTTTAAAATTTATAGTATTAAAAAGGGTTTACTAACTATAAGTGTTGCTTTATTAATTTCAAGTATGCTTAATATTATGATTTTTGCTTGCATGAATGTAGATTAGGGATATTCATATATATATAAATATATATATATAAATATATATATATAAATATATATATATATATTAGATATAACTAATAAGACCTGGAGCCTTTATGTAGGTAAATCAAAAATTTTATCGTTTACTTACTAAATTAACTAATAATTAAGATTTTATTAACATAAGTCAAAATATTTTTATTTAAACATGATTGCACTGAACAGTACCCCTAATACAATTATATTTTTGAACTGGTTTTAAACTTTTAAGTTCACTTCATTCTTTAAAACCCAAAAAGCTAACTAATAAACCTTTGTAATCCATATGGACTCTTCACTATCATAGGTACCAATATTCTTAATAATATTATTGTCAATATCACATTATTCGAATACAATAACAAACCTAACTATCGGTAAATTTAGCAAATAATGTTAAAGCTGTTGTTTTGCCTTACTTTATCGTAATTTTAATTAGGCATAGTGTACGATCAATTTATTAATATTTCGTAAGGTAAATTCATAAAATAATAAGATGCGTAGGTACCTATGTAATTACTTTAAATATTTTTTTTACTACTGGTATGCAATAATTTACATTCACACTTAATATTATTGTCGCATTTGAAATAATTTTGAGGTTGTTATTGCGTGGTGAGGTTTACGCTTCCTTATCATTGAATATACAGTTAGAGGAGTGCCACCACAAAATAGAGAGTACAGAAGGTAACTAATGTTTTTTTTTTCACTTCACTTTGCATACCTACGCTCGGTGGCCGCGCCAGGATTGTCAACATAGGCTTAAGCATAAAAAAACTATCGGGGTAGCGGCAGTCGTATCTAGTGTGATTTATCGTCCAGATTAAAACCAAGAAGAACAGAAATAAAAAACCAATGACAACTAAAATATATCAATTTTACGTCCCCCACACAAAACTGCAATGCGATGCGATGCGATTTCGTGTGGCAAAGTTTTGGTTGTGGTGACCATTGGACGTGTTTTTAGTAATAGTGGCAGGGATCGTAAAAAGATTTTTGTACTGCTGTTATTGTTAAATAGATATAGAAAAAAAGAAGATTTTGGGGTAAATCCATTTATGATTATGAACTGGGAACTATTTAACTCGAGAATACTGTGCTTTGAGCACAGAAGAAGATTTTATAAAATATTACTTTAGAATGAGCATATTTCAAGAGCTTTTGAGTTTATTATCACCATGTCTACAACAACGATCGTACATTGGAAGTCTCAGAGCGGACTAAAATGGTGTAGTATCTCAGTTTGCGAAGCGATTCAATACCGGAAGAATTCGTGCGAGCTCGCAGATATTTGCGATGCAATGCGAATTTACAGTTATGTGTGAGAACACTTATGTTATAAAGCAAAAAATAGTGACAATTCACCGTTTAATATTGAATTAAAAGAATCGTCTACTGAACAGATATAATAATTTGTTTTTTTTCTCCATTTTTGCACAAAAAAGTTCACATACGCGTGTCTCAAGAAGGTGGAACTCGCGCTCGCAGTGGTTTCAACTGTACCATTAGTACGATTTTGAGCTTACGAAAACTATCATAGATTTGTAAATTATGTTTCTATGTTCATTTTGGTGAAAAGTAACCAAATGTACTCAAAATTTAAGAAGACGCAATTAAATCATTTGCGATTTGATAGAATTTATACACTGTTTATTTGTATTAAAACGAAAACAATAAAATCAGTACCATTAGTACAAGTGCGAGCTCACGAAAACTATCATAGTTTTTGTAATTGTAAAACTCGTACTAAGGGTACTGGTCCAAGATATTGTGTCCGTGAGCGGCGTACGTGTGCGTTGCTCGGAAGCACTTTTTATGTAGATTACCTTCTCTGCTGTCTGTTTTGTGATGACACTGTAAATGGTGTTTTAAATGAGTTATCAATATAACACTCAGATTGCAGCAGGGACCACTTCGAATACAATACTTCGTCGATCGTTAGCTTATTACGACGATAGTATCTAATGGTTAAAAGAAATGTTATTTTTAAGTATTGTTAATGAGGTTGCTTGGTATGTCAGGTTTTGTGGACAATAATGAATGTTTTTATTTGTAAACATTTGTAACTTAAAAAGACAAGTATAGGTACTCAATTTCCGGGGATTTGGTATTAACAGTTTTGGACCATAATCAGTCATAATAGGAGGAGAACCCATATATATTAGAAAACTAGATTTATATTGGGTTAATATTTAGGTATATTTATTTCCTTGATTGATGCTTTGTGTAGATGATGTGTAGCTGTTTAACTAAGTACCTACGTATATAGTGAAATTAATAATGATAACAAGAAGTTTATGAGTCTGTCGTTACTCATTTACTGCTAACAAAAAATAAATAAACCGCTGAAAAGTAAAAAATAATAAACCTTTTTTATCTTTAGATAAATTAATATTTTGGAGTCGGTGTCAGTTCCAGGACAACCCGCAAGTAGTAAATGGAAACTCAGATCTATCAGACATGTATGGCACTGACTCCAAATATTAATTTGTCTCAAGTTAAAAAGAAGTTTCATTATTTTTTACTTTTCGGCGGATGAATATTTTTGTAGAAAAGTTTTTATTTTATATTTTTTTTGTGACTATAATTTTGTCATATACAACTCGGCATCAAAATCTGTGAGTGAACCTTCACCCCTATTTTCCGACCCTTAGGGTAGGATTTTGTTTCTAAATTCATATGGAACCAACTTCGGGGTATACCCTTTCGAATAGAAAAAGAATTATCAAAATCAGACTACTCTGTAAAAAGTTATGCGTGGTCATACATAAAAAAATATACGCGTCGAATTGAGAACTTCCTCCGTTTTTTTTGTCGTAAAAAAAAATACAATCGCTTTCGTAACATTTTCAAATCGTCTCGAGTGCTCACTCAAATTACTTTGTGACGAGCAGTGACAGGGTTG